AAAATCACCACCGGAATTTTCATAGCATATATATTTTTATATGGAAGTTTGTTAGAGATAATTAAAAAGAAAATGAAAACAAACAATCAAAGTTAAATATTCATTCCTGTAGATCATGAAAGTATAAATTGCAGAAAAGGGAAATCTAAAACATAATTGCACACGTCAAAAACTGAGTATATTTATTATGTCAAACTCTTTTTCCATGGTCCAACATGAAAACATATAAATTATGTTAAAACGAGGAAGAAATAAAAGTTCTTACGATAATCAGCTACCATACAAACGATAAAGTTAATTTTGTACAAATTACAGAATATTATAAAATCTTAAGCAATTTCAATAGTTCTGTTTGACTATTTTACAACAAGTGTATCACAATTTATACGATTGCAAAACCAATTACTATTAAATAATCACACATAGTTATGGTAGCACTCATAGTAATATATTGCTTGAAAAAATCTTTGTTTTATTTGATGTGTCAAAATAACTTGCAAAATCTATTGGCTATTAGTTAATTTAATATAATTCCAATATTTAAAAAATACAAGAAAATTAAAAAAAGACTCTCGTAACAACCTTAAAGTTAAAAGTAGATGCAACAAATTTTATAATATAAAGTTTAGGTAAAGAAAAGTTTTTTGATATATTATCAAACTTATAAAAGATGCGAAAAGAATTTTTCGATAGAATTTTTTATTTGATGAAAAAAAAATTATTCTATTAAAATATGCAGTACAATAACTGTTAACTTATTGTTTACTATAAAAAAAATAATATTGGAATAATACAGTTTTAATGATTTATATTCAGAAGTAGGATTACAATTACAATATTCAACTATGGATAATGTAAAAATGTTTTGAAATTATCCAAGGAAATGAAAACAAACTCAACTAATAGTACTATAGCCTGAAGAGTACCAGAAATATGTATTCCAAGGTACCTAAAACTGTTGAAATAAATTAATAAATAGAATATAATTAATGGAATCGTAATTTCTTTCCTACAATAATTTAAAAATTATCGTCTGCCATTCAAACTATATTGATACCAAGTTTTGTGTGTGATGGTTAATTTACTACATTAATGTATTAATGTATATTGAATAATTAATACTGATATTAAAGTCGTAAAAATTGACATTATCATACCTTTTGAATTATATATACTTTTCAATCCAAATATCCAAATGTCTTCAGTGTTTTCACATGGTATGTCTTTTTTATATTGGGTTGTCAACTTGGCAAACTAACTGACAAGTATAATTTTTGGTTATTTAATTTCAAGTTTCCTATTTAATTTTCCTATTCAAGTTTCCAATTTAATTCCTATTTAATTTTAAGTTGAGAGTTCAATCGGATCAGTGCTTTTTTCAATAAAAAAACATTCAACATGCAACGAGTGTCAAAAGGTGAAACCATCTAACATCCGAGATTTCTATGTTCTGATTCCCCTCTCTATTCCGTTCCGGATTCCGTAATTAGATTGCTCTGCTATGGTTATAAAACAGCACCATGACATTGCATGACGGTATCATGACTGCTTTGCTATTGGCCTTTCACGGCTGACATATTGTCAATCTGTAAGTCCATCCAGCTGCGCATAGTTAATATAAATATAAATATAATATATATATATATATATATATATATATATATATATATATATATATATATGCATATATTTATTTATTTATTTTATTTATTTATTTACTGCAATACTTAGTTCATTTCTGAACTCTGCAGAGGTACACTAGGTACCTGTACGCAGCTTACTGAATTTTTTCAACGATGATCCATTATTATTTTCTAAGATATTATATATGTTTTCGATGTAATTTTTCCTGTAGAATCGAATGGTGTAATCAGATTTGGCATAGAAATCGACTGCGAAGAATTAGCGACCAAAAACCACGAAAAAAGTCGAAAAAACTCAGTTTTTTGACTTTTTCTCAATGACCCACTACGATTTTCAAAATTCTAACGATACCACTGAATTTGTCAGAAAAAAAGACGTAATTTAAAAAAAAAAATTTTCTGTAGCCACTTTTCTAAGTAAAGTTATCGCACTTTGAAAATTTCGGGAATTTTTTTAGGTTAGAAAATCACCACCTTAAGATGTGAAAAAAATCAGGTATATTCCTTTTGGCAAGTAGTATATCCATGATTTTTTTTTGTATTGATATCGCTATTATTTTTCGAGAAAAAAAATAATTCGTAAAAAAATCGTTTTTTGCATATATATATATATGGGGGGGGAGGTCGGAGGCTAATTATATGGGCAAAGCACTTCTCAAACACTATATTAAAGATAGCCAAAGGTTATTTTGAGGTTTTCGAAAGAGGGCATTTCACCATTGTTAATGGGGGGTACCATTTATCAGGCAAACCTAATGAATATGTTAATATAAAGAGCTTATGTACTTAAATGCAATCAAGTTTACCTTGTAAATCTTGTATATTAGTAGGGTTAAGCGGCAAGTCTCACACTTTCCCTCCGAACGGTTTTTTTAATATTCTCAAGCTCTGGTACGCGGGCTTGCACAGCCTCGTTGCAAGTGTTTGCTTCCCGCGTAACTGCAGAATTGGGACGTTCTGGTTCTTCTGTGGCTATGCCCTGAAGAAGTATGTACGTTTAGATTAAGAGTACAATGAGTCAATTTTACTTTTTATGCAGGTACTTTAATATTGGACATTATTCGTAAAGCCTCCACTGCTTCAGGATCAGGTCCGTGATTGTAAGACTGTGCTGAGCCACCCTTACGAACCATAAGGCTTCGTCCCATGTATACAGTAGTCAAGCGAGCTGAACATTCGGGCTGATTTCGGCACTTCCAATATTTAACGTCGCCTCTTGTGACAGGGTTATAGCGATATTCGCTAGCCCTGTGTGCGGCACTCTCCTCGCGTGAATGCAGCGACCAAGTGTATGCTATATAGCGACTACATACTTATGTCGTTGCAGGATCTGGAGAGAGGAGCGCGACGATCGGCGAGGTGTCGCCGTGAGTGCGAGTGAGAGCGAGAAGAGCGAGAGAGAGAGAGAGCGATTTTGACTGATTTTTGACGGCGAGAGAAGTGGGAGCGTGGCGGCGCGAGGCTGAGAAATTAAGAGAGAGGAAGGGTAGTTAGGCGCGAGCTCTCGAGTAATGAGGGCCGCCTAAGGAGAGACTGGACGAAGCGAGATTTGGCCGGAAGGAAGCAACTGCTATCGGTGCGACTGCCACATTTGCCAGGAAGCCAGTAGTCCGAAGCCGAGCCAGTACACGCAGCGACCATTCGCCGTCTACGAAGCAAAGGCCGTGCATGCCGGCTTGTGCACGTTGAGCTGTTCTCGAAAACAAAGAGGACAAACGCGCTTAGGCCTATTGAAGGTGAAATAGGCCGAGGCAAGCTTGGGTCTGTTTTGGTGCCTGTTTGTTTACCGCGCGGGGTCGCGTGAAATACGATGCCGGTAACGAGATCGCCCAAGCATCGGAGAGCTGCGGAATCGCGGCCGCGGCCAGAAGCGTTTTTAGAAGACGGGTTATGAAAATTCCTGTAGTAAAGTCAATATAGGAGCACATTCAGGCAATGCAAATTCAGAAATTGCTGATATGGATGACATCGAACGGATTAGTTACGGACGGTACGACCGCGATCGTGCAGAACAGGGCATTTCGCGCATTTTTATATAGCGTGCGTCATGAACCGGTATCGCCTGTGAGAGCCGACGATTTTCTGTCAGGTGAAATACCGACGATCGTTGATGCGAGAAGCGCATCATCGGCGCGGGTCGGATCACTGCTGGAAACTTTAGAGGCGGAGGTGAACGCAGCGGTAAGTGCTCGACGAGAGCGGAGTAACGTCATGCGGCAAACACGTGCGTTGCCATCGGAGACGTGAGTTCGCGCCATAGATGGTGCGATTGCACGTGAGGAGGTGCGTGGAAGGAATCAAAGAGCGGGCTTGCATCGTTCGGTGCCGACGGATTTCGCGCCAGCTCTGGGTATTGCGAATACACAAACAGAGATTATGCGAGCGCGCGCGGAGCGGCGACCGGAGAGTTTCCATGGTCTGGATCCATCGATGTGGCAGCGCGCAGTAAAAACGTTTTGGCCGGCATGGTTGATTTCGGCAGCATCTAGGGTAAATAATGCCGAGAGCCGGGGCGAACGCGAGGGCATATCGCAGGTAGCAACGCGAGGCCCGGGAAGTACGAGCACGCCGGTGCGTGATGGCGCGCAGCCATGGGCGAGGTACCGACCTTGTGAGATGAATTACGATCAGAAGCGCGTGAATGATACCGCGGGTGCGCGATTAGGCAAGCGTCAAGCCGGTAGAGAGCCAGATGAAGCAGAGGACACGGACTACGATTCGGCGCTCGATGACGACGAAACGTGGCTAGAGAGCGCGTCAGAGGAAGAGCGCGCGAGCAAACCGAGGGGCCGATTTCTTAATGGGCAACAAGCAGATGCGGTCACGGCGGTAAAAAGTTGGTCTTTAGCATTCTCGAAGAAAGGCGGACTGACAGCGGAGCAATTTTTGAGGCGATTGCATGAAATGCAATCATTTTACAGATTCAAGGACGCGAAGATATTGTCGGCGCTAATGTTGTCGTTTACTAGCGCGGAAATGGCTTTATGGTGGGAAACGAATCGCCCGAGCTAGGATACATTGCAGGATTTTAAAGATGAATTCCAGCGCCAGTTTTGTCCGCGGCGATCGCGCGAGGATGTTTACGACGCGCTACGCCGCCAAATTCAAGGCGAAGATGAGCTATTAGGTGAATTCCTCACGGCCTTCCTGTATGTTGCGAGTAGGTTAGAACCGAAGCTTTCGGAACGTAGACAGCTTGAGTTGATTAAAAATAACTTATACCCGAAACTTCGCAATTATATCAGGGCGAAGAAGGTTCAAACGCTCAAAGACCTTCGCGTTCACGGGGAGAGATTTGAACGCAGATGAGACATCGAGAATCGCTACCGCCCGCCGCCAGCGCCGCAGGAGTCGTTGATGCCAGAAGTTGCGTACCGCGGAGATTCGTCAAAAAGAATCGCGAAGACTAGCAGCGGTGCGAACTTTGCGATGGGCGAACGGGTTTATGCGGTCGGGAATGAGAATAGTAAGGACCGCCAAGGAAAGAAAAATAAGTCGGCAACAAAACCCGTAGGCAGAAGCCGCAATCCGGGCAGTGAAGGTGTAGTTCAACGTAAGGATGTGGATTCGTCAAAAGAGTTGCCGAGAGATATAGTGATCGTGTTATCACAGCTAGCTCATTCGCAGAGGGGCCCGCCCAGGGGAAATGCGAGCCCTGCTGCGAGGAACGCTGCAGGGCGCGTGACCTTTCAGGGCGCGTGCCACAAATGCGGGGGGCTGGGACATCGGAAGTCCGAGTGCCCAAGCCCAGAGAACTTGAAGTCGACGCGAACAAGTTCGGAGCCGTTGGGGCCTGGAAGCACGAGTCGCAGAGGGGTTTCTGACCAAAGTGCGAGTTGCAATCGGGGAAAGAACCCAGTGCGCTGCTACAAATGCCAACAGCTAGGACATTACGCGAACCGGTGTTCACAAGGAAGTAGAGCGGGGTTAACGTGCCAAGGCTGCGGTAAAGAAAATAAGACGTTGGAAACATGTCCGCAATGTCAGGTGTGGCTCAAAGCTCTGGAAAACTTAAAAGTGGGACCCAGTTGCCTGACGGATTCCGCGTAGTTGTGCGTAATAGGGCACCCAACGGGGCAAAAGTCGCGTTCATGAGGCTGTTTTATAACAAGTTCTCAGAGTTTCAACAGTAGGTTGAGCGAAATGAAGCTAGATTGGGTGCGAATAACGCGAAAACAGAGGCCTCTATGCAACGCGAGGGCGCGAAAGATAGAATCAAGGAGAGTTCGAGGAAAGAGTTTGACTAGATTGAATTCAACGAACGATGGACAAGAATACGTGAAGCAGGGCCCGGGCGCGAGCGAGGAAAGCGAGCGTTGGAGTCGGGGGAAATGCTGGATGCACGCGAATCAGAGCGAAATCGAAGAAATGGCCAAGGGAGTTCGACGCTCGGGCGTGGGTCGAGAGGTGAATCGACGAGAACGCCCGGGGTGGATCAGCCGGGCAGGAACTCGATGGAAACTGCAGAGACCGCGCGGTCTTCGAGTAGTTCAGAGGGGAATACGGCGCGTGCGCGGCCGGTTCCGGAACAAACTCGGACTGAGAGATCGCCTCAGCAGGCTGGAAACTCAAAAACTGACGACCTTGACGGTGTAGACGAGACGTCGTCGCGATCCGTCACCTCGTTCAGGGAGTTTATGGTGCTGAGTGAGGTAGTAGTTAGGGCGACACCGATCGCATCGGGTTTGGAAGCGTCAGATGGCGCAGGATGCGAGTCGACAAGCAAAGATTTGACGGATAGTCGGGGGAGCGAGAAGCGAGGCGAGTCATCGGGGACCGGTGAAGGTTTCTCGCGCCTCTGTGCTCGTGTTTGCGTGGGCAAACCAAAAGTGGACGCGGTGGAAAATTGCGAGTTGTTGGTAGTCCATATCGCGGGGAAGCCATACAGTGCGCTGTACGATTCAGGAGCGATGGTGACTATCGTGGGCCCGCGTATACGCGGCGACTTTGTAGACAGGATTGAGCCGTGCGACTTCGCGTTGTTCGGGTTTTCGGGAGCGAAAACCGGGATCGTGGGAAAACTTCGGCTCAAGGTTGAGATCGACAGAGTGTTACGAATAACCGTAGCACGAGTCGTGGATGTACCGGTGCAATACGACATGATAATCGGGATTCACTTCATTCAGGAGTTCGGTATTGGTACGGATCATGCGAATGGGAGATGGCATATAGAGGATGGCCCGTGGCACTGGTTCGCGGAGCTGAAGCGCGAAAGGGTGGAGTTCCCGAGTGATCCTAGGCTCGCGCGTGTTCGCGTTAGAGCCGAGGTCGCGGGGCTCTCCGAGTTGCGATCTTCGCAGCGCGAGTTAGTGGAACGTTTGATGCGGCGAGTAGTACCCAAGAAGTCACCTGCGCGTACGCATTTAATTAAGCATGAGATCGACGTGCAGGGTGCACGATCAGTAAAAACTCCCTTAAGGAGATATTCGCCACAGGTGATGGAGTTTATGCGAAGCGAGACAAGGAAATGGCTGGAATCGGAGCTAATCAGAAAATCGTCAAGCGATTGGAGTAGCGCGCCGGTTATAGTCAGAAAACAAGATGGCACGAATCGAATGTGTATAGATTTAAGGTCGGTGAATAAGGCGACGAAAACAGATGCATATCCGATGCCGAGCATTGACTCAGTTCTCGATCGACTGCGTGGAGCGCGTTATATTTCTAAAATCGACTTGAAGAACGCGTACTTGCAAGTACCGCTAAGCGAGGAGAACAAGAGATATACGGCATTTGCGGTCCCGGGATTAGGGTTATTCGAATGTAATTATATGATCTTCGGATTAGTAAATGCTCCGGCGACGTTCATGCGGCTGATGGATACGCTTTTCGGACCGGAATTTGAGTCATATGTTTTCAAATATTTAGATGACGTAATTGTAGTAACCGGAACTTTTGATGAGCATTTGACTTGGCTTGAGCGAGCTCTACAGAAGCTGGTAAATGCGGGACTCGAAGTAAACGTGACGAAGTGTGAATTCGGGTGCTCTGAGGTGACGTTCTTGGGATATCGATTGGATAGTCAAGGGTTGCGACCTGATCCGGACCGGATTAAGCCGGTGATTGACTTCCCGCAATCCCGAAACGTTAGCAGTTGCGACGTTTTCTCGGTATGTGCGGATGGTATGCGCGATTTATTGAGCATGAGAGCGAGATGAAAGTACCGCTCACGAAGCTTACGCGCAAGAGCGAACGTTGGCACTGGGGGCAGGAGCAAGCCGAAGCTTTCGAAAAGCTAAAGAAAGCGCTGACGGAGGCGCCGGTTTTGGCGAGACCCGATTTTGCGAAAACTTTCTTTATTCATTGCGATGCATCGTCATATGCGTTAGGTGCGTGTCTAATTCAGAAGGACGAGGATGGGTTTGAACATCCTATATGCTACGCGAGTAGAATGTTGAATGTGCATGAGCGCAATTATACTGTGTCGGAGTTGGAATGCGTGGCTGTGATAATGGGGATTAAAAAATTCCGCCCTTACATTGAGGGAGTGCATTTCGTGGTAGTCACGGATCATACGGCACTTACTTGGCAATAAGAAGGAACCTACGGGTCGGTTGGCGCGGTGGGTTCTAGAACTCCAACAGTACGATTTTGAAATCGTATACAGGAAAGGTCGCCTGCATCATACGCCGGACGCGTTATCGCGCGCGTATGAGGACGGCGAGGAAGTAGCAGCTTTCGCGACGATCAAGGATAAATTTCGGAATTGGCGAGTGGAGGACGGAATGCTGTATAGATTCTCGTCTGATAGATTACTTGATCCGGTTACAAACCGTGAGCAGTGTTGGCGCTTGGTGGTACAGTTAGAACACCGAGCTCGAGTGATGCGAGACGCACACTGCGAGCCGTCGGCAGGACATTTCGGAAGGGATAAGACCTACGATAGAGTCGCGAGGGAGTATTCATGGCCCGGAATGTATTATGACATCACGGAATTCGTGCAATCGTGCGAGAAATGCCAACGGTATAAAATAGAACAACAATTTCAGATGGGCCTCATGAGCAAGCGGGTAGTTGAGCAACCGTGGTTGGTGATAGCGGCAGATGTGATTGAACTTCCGAGGAGTAAGAATAGGTTCAGATACTTAGTCGTGTTTCAGGACTTGTTCGCGAAATACGTGGAGTTTAAACCTCTTGTGTCAGCTACGGGGAAAGCTCTCGCGCAGGCTCTTGAAGAGTTTATTTTGTATCGATGGGAGATACCGGGGTATATTGTCACGGATAATGGTAAGAATTTCTGTGGGAATGAGTTTCGAGCGACGCTAGACGAGTACAAGATTGAGCACGTACTTTGTCCGCCGTACCATCAGCAGGCGAATTTCGCCGAGCGAGCGATTAAGACGCTGAAGCTGATGGTGGCGATGTTCGTCGATCAGGATCACAGGAATTGGGATAAGTATTTGCATGAATTCAGGCAGGCGCTGAATACGACGATGCAGGCGAGCACAAAAGTCTCGCCGGCGTTCTTGAATTTTGGCCGCGAACCCCAGCAGGCTAAAAGTCTGCGTCGTGAGGTGGAAACGCGAACGCCGATCATCCGCTCGTCGATCGAGGATTGGAGCGAGCGTATGGCGAGACTCGATGCGTTACGCGATCTTGTGATTAAACATATTGAAGAAGCGCAAAACCGTCAGAAGAAACATTACGATAGAAAACGACGAGACGTAGAGTTTTCGGTCGGCGATCTAGTCTTGAGGCGAGCACACACTCTGTCAAGCGCGAGTGCGGGGAAAAACGTAAAACTGGATCCGCGATATACCGGTCCGTATAAGATTTTGCGAGTGGTTTATCCGGGAACTTATATGTTGACCACGAATAACAACAAACAGGTACCAATGGCTCATGTATCTGAGCTCGAAAGATACGTGCTTCCTCGAGGTACGAGGAAAGGTAACAGCCGAGAGTGATTTGTTTGTTGTGTGATGTTTGTGTGAGTGTGATGTTTGTATTGTTTTTTTTATTTCTTTTATTTTACGGACGAGTTAGGCGGAGACAGAACCGTGATTATCTAGTCAACGGACTGGATGTCAGATGAGGTAGCAAGGCTAATACATGCATGGTTTATTACAGGAGAGGTAGTTATGCTGGAGGAAACGCCAGGCTTCTCTGGCGAGTACGCCGAGACAGGAGTGGTGGAGGAAGGCCAGCAAGGGCAATCGGCGTTAGAGCTGCCTATCGTGCCGCGGGGCGCGTGTGACCTTGTTGATGCGGGCGCGGCTACGGGGCAGAACCAAGGCGAGAACGCTGGTTCTGTTCCCGAGGGGGGCGCCGAAAGCGAGGTAATCGCGGACAGGGTCTTGGAGGTAGCGGTAGCGAGACCATTTGAGAGGCGCACGGAGCGAGGTACGCTTCGTGTTGCTACTCGCCCACCTGGTCGGAGCGCGGTGGTTGCCGCTGCTGCTGCGGCCGCTGAAGCGAGGGCAAGGGTCGCCGAATGGCCGCACGATTTGCCGGTGGGTGCAGTAAAACCGTCACCGAGACGAGGATTCGAGAATCAGGTGGCGATGGCTGAGCCTACTGGGAGTTGGCTGCCGGTGGAGGTACAACCATCCACTTCGTGGGCAAGCTTGTCGGACGAATGAGACAACAGCAGGGCTGTCTCACCGTTGTTGATAGCTGAGCTTCGTCGGGGTGTGCGGACTCCGGAGCGAAGGCAGGAATTGATTGGGAGGTTTGGCCCGATTGTGAATGAATTGATTAGGCCGGAGGATCTGCTGCCGGAGCGTCCTTTGCGCTTTAGCGCACCGGATCCATCATCTGCATCGGAGCGTCCGCGACCTCGTAGGTTGCCGCCGATAAGCGCGACGTGGCGCGCAAGCACGGATGGAGTTCCACCGGAATACCTAAGGGAACTTCGGGAAGAGGAAGACGCGACTAAATATGGAACGTCGAGAAGACGCCGTAAGAACCGGAAAACGCCGAACTTCAATGACTACGAGCCGCCGTTTGCATGTGCTGCTCTGATAGCACAGGACAATAGAATGGTTCAAGTCGAACTTGGGGAGGCGCGAGAGGAGCAGCAGCGAGAAACACAGCGTGCTCTGCCTGCCGCAGAGCCACCAATCATGGCGAGTTCGCTAGATTCGGTACTTGCGATGCAGGAAGCACCGGTAGCTATGGATGTTGAGGCGGAAAACGTGGATATGCGGGTAGCTGTTTTGTCTGAGGCTGATGAATCGGAATCGATGCGATAGTTAGGTGAAAGCGGGGCTGATGTAACGTTATCGCATCAAGCTGCTGATAGACCAGCTAAACCGTATAACATAGGTAGTGGAAAGGATAGGTATCGCGTGTTCCCCGATGGGACACGCATACCAGCACCAAGAGCGGGGGTGAAGGTTCGTCGCCGTAGGGAAAACCAGCAGGCGAGGGCTGCGGAGGCCGAGGTAGCGAGATCGCAGCCACAGCCTCAAATCGCAGACCAGAGTCAGCTCGAGGTAATGCATTCGCAACGACAAATTGTAGCGGGGGAAGGTGTGAGCCGCGATCCGGTAGCAGCAATATTGTTAGAGTTTAACGCCAGAACAACGGGAAGAAGTGACCAGGATCCAACGCCAGGCGTGTGAGATCGCTGCCAGGGCGATTGGCAAGGGCGCAGCCCCAGATAAAGCATGAGAAGGCTGAGGTACCAAATCTGTTCACTTTAAAAGGGTTTTATGTTGCTTTGTTTTATTTTATTTTATCTTCTATTTTGTTTTGTGTATGGTATGTTTATTTATGTTTGCTTATTTATTTTTATTTTTATTGATTTTGAAGGTTTTGGCGAGCTGAATTATTGAAGTTTTATGATTTTGATTTTGTACTATAGTTTTAAGTCGTTTTCTTGCTGGTCCCGTGTTCGAGCGAGGAGGGTTGCGTTGGGTAACCCACGGGTGCCTGCGGCTTCCGCGACTTAGCGGGGAGCTGTGACAGGGTTATAGCGATGTTCGCTAGCCCTGTGTGCGGCACTCTCCCCGCGTGAACGCAGCAACCAAGTGTATGCTATATAGCGACTACATACTTGTGTCGTTGCAGGATCTGGAGAGAGGAGAACGACGATCGGCGAGGTGTCGCCGTGAGTACGAGTGAGAGCGATAAGAGCGAGAGAGAGAGAGAGAGAGAGAGAGAGCGATTTTGACTGATTTTTGACGGCGAGAGAAGTGGGAGCGCGGCGGCGCGAGGCTGAGAAATTAAGAGAGAGGAAGGGCAGTTAGGGGCGAGCTCTCGAGTAATGAGGGCCGCCTAAGGAGAGACTGGACGAAGCGAGATTTGGCCGGAAGGAAGCAACTGCTATCGGTGCGACTGCCACATTTGCCAGGAAGCCAGTAGTCCGAAGCCGAGCCAGTACACGCAGCGACCATTCGCCGTCTACGATGCAAAGGCCGTGCTGCGGCCCTTCCTGCAGCAGCTTCCATCGTCGCCAGGGCGCCGTTTCCTGCGGGACTACGCTTTCGCCGACGTCGCCTCCCTGTCGACGGGCCGTCGGCATCCGGTGGGTCCAAAGCCAGTTTATCTCTCTCGCGCCAGCTCTCGCTCAATTACGAACATTAGCGTATTTTGATTACATTGCGCACGCTGAGCGATCTCGCTCGCATGATCCCGCGAACTCTGGTCGCGGAAAGGTTGAGCGAGCACGCTCACCGCGGCGAAGTGAATCTTGTAGCGATATTTGTGAAAAGGCGTCAATAAATGAGATCGCCATATGTAGTATAATTGAATTAAAGTGTCCGATTCTTTGTATCAACCTCCCCCAACCAGAGCGAACTTCGGCCTGTGAAAGTCAGCGCCAGCTTTCTTTACCGAGAAAGAACCCAGAAAAATTAGCAGAGACCAGCCCAAGGCGCACGGAGGCTGATCACTCTTGCACTCTTGAATGTGATCCGGTGTATAAAAATCCTTCAAGGTGTCCATAAACATTACGTCCTTTTTTAACAATCTCTAGTGTACTAACTGCCATTTTTCACAAAATTTTCACGCGCCGAAATGAAAAAAAAACTGTCTTGAAATGAAAAAAAAACTGCCTCGAAGTCAATGAAGAAAGGTTATGAAAAAAAAAACAGAAAGAAAACATTCTACAGAAGGAATATGATTATATGTTTATTGTGGACTATTCCAATTTTTTAATTGTGGACTTTTTGGGCATTAAATAGTTGTGGACTTTTTAGGTGTGGACTTTATAGTGCGGACATTTTGACCGTATACCTTATTTTTCAGGGAACCATTAAAAGTCACTAAATACGACTCAATAAAATATCATTAAATTAGTTATTACTAAGATTATTGTTTAAAATTATTGATTATGAATAGAATTAATGGTAATTTTTACTGTTTATTGCGATACCCATTCATGACCATTCAAAATAATTTATTCTAAATCGTCGCTCGATCATTGATTCATTCACTTCTTTGATCATGATTGAATACCATTCAATATAAATCATTTTAAATGAGAATCAATGGATTTTTTCAGTAGAGCAACTACTAGAAATGGGAATTACATAGAAATTCAACAATTTCTCGTTAATATGGTGGATGGGAAAGAGTATACAACATACAAAAAGGTGATAATCATCTAATTAGTGATGAATTGTACTTCATAAACCAAGTTATTGAAATAAATCGGAATATTGAAATCACATATACACAAAATATTGATAAAGCATGACTTTATTTAAACATATATAGTAATGATTATATTTCAAGTGTTCCTAATATGTATTGGAAATAAAATGACAATAAATCATGTGTTGTAATTTTATAAATGTATTTTAGTTGGTTTTTATTTGATGATGTACATTTCTTATTATTTTATTTATTGAAACATTTTTGTTTATTCATCACAAAATAAATGTTCAATCTGTTAGACATATTCATAATACCTGTCTAATGTTTATTTGTTAACATCAGTATTTTCCAAATAAATCACCTCAATTCTGCAAGAATTCATATGAAATTACTGAGGTATCTACTTGGATTTACAATAAAGCCTATTTATATTGCAAGGTGATTTATCTCAAATTACTTAGCAATCCATCTGGTTACCCAAGAAATTCATGTGGATATTCCAAAAATATACTTGGAGTTTCCAAGAATTTCATCTAAAATTTACAAAATATGCTTTTGGATTTCTTAAAAACCTACAATAATCCACTGGAATTTACAAAAAATATTATCTACAATTTGAAAAATATAAGCACATAGATTTCAGACAAAAATCCATCTATAATTGCATACAAATATACCTGAAATTACGTATAATTCCATCTGGAATTCCTAAAAATTCCATCTAGAATGTCATAAAATTCCATATAAATTTCTTAAAAAGTCCACCTGGAATTTCAATAAAGTGCACATGGATTTCCTAAAAAAATCCATCTGAATATTTTACTAAAGTGCATCTCAATTTCTTTGAAAAATCCATTTGGATTTTCTACAGAAACCCATCTAGAATTTCAAAATATACATGCACCTGGATTTCTTAAAACTCCACCTGGACTTTTTCAAGAAATCTGCCTGGATTATTCAGGATATCAATTAGGAATCCAATCTGGAAATCCATGAAAATCTATATGGAATCCATAAGAATTCATATGGAATCCAGCTGAATTTCCAGCTAGCTTTTTTGATAGGGAGAGAAAGGACCTGACCAAACGTGAGGAGCAAGCATCTCACTTCTATTTATGCAGTCACTTCAGCACTTACCTTTTGTGATAACTATTACTTTTAAAAGAAAACAAAGTCATGCAGTACAAGTATCAGAGGTGCACCAGGAAGAAAATAAATAGCAATGAAAAGTTCATCCATTCTTCAGTATTTTTCTCTCCATCCTTCACCAATAACAAAACATTCAAAAATTTTCTTTCATTTTCGAAACATTCAAATCCATTGTAATTATCTGAGGAATATATTTAGCTTCAAACTAATATTGTTTATCCATACCATATTTAGACTATTTTTTGACTTATTTTATTTTGATTATTATTGTTATTGTTGGTTCTAAACAATAACAGTAACAGCTAGGATTAATTAATTTCAATTAATTAATTAATCTAATTAATTCAGATTTGATATTTCAGGTAAAATCAAAGCAAAATCAATTCCGATTTTTTAAATAGGGTATTGTTAATTAATGTTATCGTAGGAGGGAATACTATTTCTCAAAAACACCAAGAATAGTAAAGTAAATTTTTAGCAATAAATTAGCAAAGAAATATCATAATATGATTATACCACTTCAGAAAATGACCTATCCAATGATTGGCACAACTTAATATAAATGTGATAAATGAGATCATACAAATTACTAACATGTAAATAATGTTTTATCATACTCATAGCTTTTCTCAGTATAATAACCAGTATAATTTCTCAGTATATCAATTATTTCTCAGTCTGTATCAATCATTTAAAATATCAGACTCTACTAAAACAATTTTAATGAAAACATAAAAGTTTAACAGCAAAACACTTTAAATTGATAAAATAAATATAAAAAATAAGCCAAACAATTAAAAATTACAATTATTTAAACGCAGAATATCAAGAACCAAAAGAAAAAATAAAAGAAAAATGATACAGAATAGCAAAATGAAATTCATAAAATTAATCAAGTTGTTTGTTCTAATAAAAATTTAAAAAATTACTTTATGAGATAAAACATACAAAAATTAGAAATAACATACTATATGATCTAATACCTATTTTTTAAGTTTATTGTTTATATATAATAAAAAAAAATTATAGATTAACTGTTAAATCACCAATTTGATTTCAATGGTTTATTGTAAGTATGTAAAAAATTTAAAACTTTAATGATTATATCTCTATCTTAACATATAAATTGAAATTTCAATGAAAAATTTCATTTGCAGAAAAATGTCTGCTTCTAAATATATTCATCATATAGATTTAAACATTCTTTTATCTTTTATACATACCCACTCTTATTTCTATCCAACAAGCTTGGAATAATAGACCGAATGTATGTGCATGTACATATTGTCAACAATAATATGATCAATAGGCTCTGGAAATTAAATAAGGCGAACTGCAAAAAGAAAAATAACTTGATCAACAATGTGTGTAATATTATGTTCATTACATTGCAGAGAAAGAGAATGAAAGATCGATTTGTAACACCTAAAAATATTCAGAATGCTTAGTTAGATTTCTAAATTGGCAGGTTTCTAGTAACATCCTTAACTGTACTTAATTTATTTAAAATAGTATTAAAAATGAAAACTATTTAAAGACTTGTAGTTTTATAAAAATTAGATTGTGTTGGAAGATTATAGTAGAAGATAATTATTCATAACTGTATATTGCTAATATTTCTTGTTGAGTGATGAAAAATAACTCAAGGTGTGTCTTTTAACTAGTAAAACAAGTTAGTTCTATAAGGATCATTTTAAATGAAACACAATGTTCATGTTATAAAAATTCTGAACAACTTAATTGTATACATGACCAAAGAAAAATTACAATTTGTTAAATTAGATGTGTTTACAATATCATCTTACTTATATTGCACAATTACTTATATATGCCAAGAAGAAATAATTATTACTAATTAATACATACGAAATTTTACTTTGATTCAGATAACACAACTTTGAAAATTAATTTTTAAAAAAAGACTAGAATATATCAGTAACGTTTTATCAAGAAAATAATTTACCATTGTTTTTAATTTGCTGCAGAAAAGAATAAAGAACAAACTATAAATACAGTAAAACCTATAATTATGTTTATAGATATGATCCTTATCACTGTCCAATGGAATGTCAATGGAATGTAAAGAAAAATCCGGTAAAATACTTCGAGCATACACCACCTCCAGATTTTCTCAGCCCCGACCCAGGGCCCCCAGGGGTCTGATCTGATTGAAGTACGGTGCGCAGTACGTTTTACGTAAGTTACGGTTATTTTCAATGCAATGTGACAGTTTCGCTGACATTCGTGAAATAATAACATTACTATTTTGAATTGGTTATTTTCTTTCACGAATACTCTAGGTAGTATTCGTGCCGTAGTTTTATTTTGTCGCAGTCTTATGGTTCGACCATCCGCATATAGATGGTAACGGCCAACTACGAGCGGCAAGAAATACGCTCACTGCATATATAACTCCGCATAGCGACACAAACATTTCGAGCGTATAAGGCAGATGTTACCCGTCGTCGAGCCTCACTGACGAGTCCAACCGGTAGCATCGGGACGAATCGCTTATTACCTTACCAACCTCCCGAGTGTAAGCCTGGCTATATACCTCACACTGCGACCAACCTTTTACAACCTCCCCCGGTTCAGCCTGCAAATTAATGCAAAAAAAATATTTAGATGTGTAAACCAATAGTTTTTTAATTGCCCAATTCAACTGCCTTATTTATTTTATTTGCCCACTTTCACTTTACTTACAAAAATTAATAATTATATCCGGTATCACTGCGAACTTCAAGCGTCCATATCTCGATAATTAAGTAATACTTCTTAATTCCTGAAAATCCAAAAAACTGCCCTTGCAATGATTTAATTTGCCCAGTCGATTGCAATAACAATTCATCGATTTTTCATATGAAAAATATAAAAAACTAAAGTATGTGTACGATTCGCGCATTGCGCATGCGCAATCAAATTAAGGGTATCTCATCGGCTTTGATAATGCCACGATCATTGCCTATAATAAAAAGTAACTAATCATAAAATATTTTTCTTTATTATATGTAAACGATTTTTAACTATTTCTTCCACTACAATAAAGGTCATTTTATTTGATTTGAAAATTATTACAGAAGTTTCATTGGACAGTGAAATATGAGGTTAATTAATGTTCTAATTTTATAGAATTAGAATAATCATAATTTAATAGCTACATATTTAGGCATTGGTTTCTCTGATAAAAAATACCATCCAATATGATATGAAAAATAGCAGCGTTGTCAAATATTTCCGGTACAATACAGACTTGATTTGATTGCGCCTGCGCAATACCAGAATCGTATAAATGTTATTGCTATTTAATAATTGTCACATGAAAAATTGATGAATTGTCATTGCAATCGACTGGGCAAATTAAATTATCTCAAGAGAAATTTTTTGCATTTTCAGGAATTAAGAAGTATTACTTAATTATCGAGATATTGACGCTTGAAGTTTGCAATGATATCGGATATAATTATTAATTTTTGTAAGTAAAGTGAAAGAGGGCAAAGAAAATAAATATCGCAGTTGAATTGGGCAATTAAAAAACCGTAGGTTTACATGTCTAAATATTTTTTTTGCATTAATTTGCAGGCTGGACCGGTGAAGGTCCTTTTACACGAGACTCCTCGTACACACCTATACATACGCATACTTCTTCAATAGCTAAAATTTTACCGATGCGAAAACAGCCCGATACAAATAACATTTTATTACAAAAAATGATCACATCTCACGTATGCCTAATTGTACTTCTCGAAAATATAATTATTTGTTATTGTACCATTATATTTCTTATAAAAAATAAAAAATATCGTTATCGATACTTCACCTCCTATTTATTCACATAAAAGACATAATTAAGCAAAAATAAATTCACAGAAAAATTGTACCTTCTGTAGTCTAAATTGTACCATCAGTACAATTCTATAAATTTGTTTCTAAAAGAAATAATAGGACAATTACAAATTACCACTAATTGTTACAACTTACAAGGATGGCATCCGGAAATGCACTTTGCGCAGGCGTAGAGCTTTGTAATTGTCCTATTATTTCTTTTAGAATCAAATTTTTAGAATTGTACTGATGGTACAATTTAGACTACAGAAGGTACAATTTTTCTGTGAATTTATTTTTGCTTAATTATGTCTTTTATGTGAATAAATAGGAGGTGAATTATCGATAACGATATTTTTTATTTTTTATGAGAAATATAATAGTACAATAACAAATAATTATATTTTCGAGAAGTACAATTAGGCATACGTGAGATGTGATCATTTTTTGTAATAAAATGTTATTTGTGTCGGGCTGTTTTCGCATCGGTAAAATTTTATTGGTACAGGTTAGTTGAAATAACACTGATACACGAATTATGGGAAAAAGCTTATCACAGCACAAAAAACCCAGTTTATTTAAGAATAATATACAAATCGACAAATGAAGCGATTGTACAGTCGATTAAAAACAATTAATAAGAACAAAAAAAGAGATAAAAAAAATAACTAAAACTGCACAGATAAAAGCGCGCCAACTGAAAACGAACGAGTGTGACCGCCGCGCACGTGTTTATTAAGAACGAATTACGGCGCTTACATATACCGCTCGCCACGCGATAAAAATCGCGCCGACAATCACTCCTTTACTCACACTATCATCCAGACTATTCACGTGGATTATATTGCTTCGGTCCCTTTTTTATGCTTAGCCCAACGGCGTTGTTGCACTAAGAAAAGGGGTCTTATTGTGATCAATCACTAATCAAACCTGTTCACACGGATTTGATTGATTCTTTGATCGGTCCTTTGCGCTTAGCCTAGCGGCGTTATTGCACGAAAGGGTGCCTTATTGAAGTCGATCACTAATCAAATTCTCCCAGGTAGTAGTCCCGGCTTGGACTTGCTATTCCGTTACCTACTTACTCACTACACTATATTAGAGATCACCGTATTTCTTTGTTTCAAAAAAAAGAACCAGACGAAGTTTAAGAACGCGTACTGCTCGCAAAGCAGGCTTGATAATGACTGACTGTGATAGCAGCGCTCGCTAACCAAACGCCAGCCTAAATTAACCGGAAGTCAAAAAAGGCGGTAAACAGGGCAGATGTCTCTTAATACGAGACTTGTGAAGGTGACGCCCAGAAAATTTTTTTAAAAATATTTTTGAATTTTCATGAGCTAAAACGTGTTCTCCCTATTTCCGGATTAAGTGTCCGCTTGAAATTTTATTTCCGGATTTTCCATTTTTAAGAAAATTGCGAAAAAAAATCGGGCGTTCGGACAGCGCGAAATATGCATTGAACATTTTTCTCCTGTTTAAAAAGAAATAATATCGATAGCAGATGATAGCTCCTTATTCCCGGATTACGAAACAATTTTCCTTTTGTCGATTTTCTATCCAAAATTGAGGAAAATGTAAAGATTAGTAATATACGGCAATTAAGGGGGTATCCTCGTATAGATCGATCGAAAAATCGATTTTTTTTATTACATAAGTCGATAGTATAACATGTCAATAGTATGCTCTTAAAATTTTAAAGTGAAATTCGCAGCGGTTTCGATGCTATGGCTATTTTCTTTAACGTTGTGCGACGCGCTGCCGGAGTGCGGCACAGGTAGGCAGGTACGCGCTCGAATACAATAGGTGCCCCGCTGAGTTTGGGTCTTCGAGATGCTTCGCAATTGTACTATGGCAGATTCTATTCCAATTTTGGTTGTATTAGTGCGTATACTTGTGTAAAGAGGAATTGTGTAAGAGGATTACTACAATCTAAGCTAACTGAAAGTATAGGTAGAAAGGTTGATTTCGAAGAGTTTTACAACAGTTGGCTCAGTATTCTCGTAGCTGTCGATTAGTTCACTGCTGTTTGCGTGCAAAATGTCGTCTTACCCTAAAGGTGAAAAGGCCGGGAGGTATCGAGCATCAGAACGCAAGCGTTCTTTTCAAGGAAAGCAGCATACAACGGAAACGGGCGAGCCAAAAGGTGCTAGTGCAAGTGCCTGAAAATTGTCAGCAGCATCTACTGATGATGTATCGATTGACTATGATCATCGGTACCGCATAATCGAGTTTTTGACAGTTTTTACCGTGTTGAGTGAACTACTGTGCTGCAAAAAATGCAAAGGAGGGGTGAATTTCTAGGAGGCTAGGCATTGCGGTCTCGGTTGGAAACTAGTGATTTCGTGTAGATGTAGTAACACTTAAGTGAACTCTGGTCCTTTCATCAATAACGGCTTCGAAGTCAATCGTAGAATAGTGTTTGTGATGAGACTTTTAGGTGTAGGCTTGAAAGGCCTTAATTTATTTTCAAGTTTGATGGACTTTGGTGAAGGATTAAGTAAAAAGACATATGATGGCATATTGGAGCATATACATCAAGCATCGAAGATCTGTTTTATGAGTAGTTGCCAAAGTGCTATTGAAGAAGAGAAGAAGCTCAACGAACAAAATGACAGGAAGTTTCAGGCGATGAATCGTGGAAAAAGCGTGGTTTCTCATCAAAACTTGGTGTCACCACTTTGATTGCATACGAGAGCGGGAAAATCATTGATTTAATCGTGAAAAGCTCGTTATGTCAAGCGTGCGCAACATGTAAATACAAAAAAGACACACAAGAATATCTGGACTGGTATGAAGAGCACGCAGACGAATGCAGCGCAAACCACGCCGGATCCGCTGGCAAAATGGAGGTCGATGCAGTCGTCGAAATGTTTTTGAGATCGCAAGAGTATTACGGCATCATGTCAACCAATTATTATGGACTTGCGATCAGAAGAAATGATAACACCGTTGAAGACATGAAAAAAGCTATAATAACAACATACTACCATATGTGTTCAACTGACGAGAACTCGCAGCACGAAAACTGCCCTGCTGGAGTAGACAGTTGGTGCGAATGGCAAGCCTCACAATATATTGGAGCAAACGTCTATGAACATCCTCCGCCACTGCATCCGGACGTTCAAAAACACCTTCTTCCAATCTACCAAGATCTTTCCAAAGATGATTTATTGGAAAGATGTTTAGGTGGCTACACTCAAAACGCTAACGAGAGTTTCAATGCGCTCGTGTGGCGTTTAGCACCAAAACACTTGCATTGTAGCGCAAAGACCGTAGAAATTGCTGCTTATATAGCTGCCGTAGTTTTTAATAACGGATTCAATGTAGTTTTGAAGATGATGAAGTGCCTGGAGTTCAAAATCGGATTGCCCAGTGCCACTTACGACAAGAACACCGACGCTGAACGAGTAACACGGCAAAACATCAGAACGGAGAGTGCATCCAAGAAAGCTCGATTGGTCAAATAAAGGAAAACTGCATCTGAAAATCAGCATTCCGAAGAAGAAGAAGGGTTTCTTTATGGAGCAGGCATTGCTGAATAGTGCAAAAGTC